AGTTAGGTGAGGGCGCAGCAGGTCATAGCGAGTCAGGTGAGGGCACAGCAGGTCATAGGGAGTCAGGTGAGGGCGCAGCAAGTCATAGGGAGTCAGGTGAAGGCGCAGCAGGACATAGTAGGTCAGGTCACAAGTCATACTCATGGGGGGGGTCATTTACAATAGATGAGATAATGGTGGGTCAGGTTATACCAGATCAAAGATGGTTGGATCACATTTGGTAATAGCATGTCATGGTGGGTTGGGTAACAGTAGGTCAAAGCAGGTCATGGTGGGTTGGGTAACAGCAGGTCATAGTGGGTTGGCTTAGGTCAAGTTGAATCGTAATCTTATTAATTTAATGCTGATATTATATCAGATTTTATCATCCTGTTCTCTAACATTTTCAGGAATACAAGCAGAATACATTTTAAAATATCAAACAAATAAATTGTTTAAAGTTCATCATGCACATGATCTGTTACTACTCAATTTGAATTAGAAAAGTCTCTACCTTTAACTGGCATAGGCGCTTCTTTAAACGGCGCAAAATCATCATCTTCAGTGGAGCCTGTGGGTTCTACAGGAGTCTTGTTTACGGGTGTCACATCACCACTAGGGGTGGAACCCCCTGATGGCGTCAATATTGGTATAGGCGGTTGTGACATCTCGTACAAGGTCTTAAGGTTAACGTTTTGAAGCTGGCCACTCTGAAAAGACATGAACAGTGTATCTTTCTAAGCCTTTTTTTTTTGTGTGAAATTAGTGGGAAGCCAAGTTTGGTTCTATAACTGCAGATGCAAAAATAGTAGTAAGTAACATTGGTGGATGACATTTGCATAAAATATATAATTTTAGCTCATCTGTGTGAAATAAACTTTCTTTTTCCCTGGAAACACAGAATGGATTTCAATGGCCTAATTGTATAGTGGATTATTAAGATATGACTTGTTGGACATGTCAGTTACATATGCACATGTATCGTAAAATCTGCATTAGAAGCTGCATCCCTAATAGAAGTCGCACCCATTCTTTTTGAATAATTGAGAACCAAAAAATTCATCATTTCATATGTGTAGATGCTCTATTATAACCGCATCCCTTCCATTGCATTGTATTGTACCATTTTAATAGAAGCCACGGTTTCTAATACAGATTTTACAGTACAGCAAATTCAGCAAATATGGTATGTGTCCAATTGCTGTCACAAGCCAAGATTATATAATTAATATCAGCAAAAATTACACTGGTGTTTTTTTAGAGTGAACTACTCTCCTAGTAGCATACAATGTATGTTACACTAGTGCTAAATTTACTCATAAAGAATATATTGCACAGCTTGTTAAACATGTCACAATATGCATAGATCAATATAATATTTTGAAAATTAAAAATCATCCGATGTGGATTTGTGTTTAAACTTATTTCTCATCGCCAAAACATTAATTGCCATTCTGATGCAATAATTTAACTACATTACTTGATTTATTTTTCTCAAATGTAATGATTTCATGACAAAAATACATTACTATTATGTGACATTTAAGAGTTATTTGTCAATAAAAATAGGAAATACAGTAAACTAATTGTCATGGAATGTTATATATTACTTTTCAAATGTAGAAATTTGCGTCCTCACTCAGGCAAGTACTTGCCCAAAATTAGATTGTGCAAAAAACATTAATGTAAGCAAGGTTTGAATTTCTGGAAAATTACAAACAGCATAATGATTATGTCCAAAATATGTTTTATGGTGCAAAAAGTCTTAACGAAATACTAAAGCTTCAGAATGTTTGAATTATATTTTTTTGTTAGCAAAGGTTTTTTACATGCAAGATTCAAAACATGTTCTGAGATCACACTTTTGTGTGTGTGTAATTTAATCTCTGCATACTCAGAAACAAATATCTATACAAGAAAATCTATACAAAGCCATAACATGCAATGTTATAGCTAAGAGTTTCAAACAATACTGAAATATTCCATCAAAATTACTGTAATGACATCATCTTCTCCTTGTTTATGTGTGTGTGTGTGTACGTTTTTGCTATGTAATTTACATTGCTTTACATTCCTTTACATACATTTTTGTCACTTTTACTTTCCAATCACTACAGTAAACAAAATCCTTTCACAATTTGATGACTATTGCCATCTTGAACAACTTGATTTACAAAGATCACTGAATGGCAAAATGATCAGTTGTCCCTATTCTAAAACAAGTAACACATTTGCATGAACGGCATGAAATAAACGATCGTTACCTGTGCCACAGCAATCAACGCTAAAGCCATAAACGCTTCTTGTTTCGTCAGCATACCAGGCGTGGTATTATTACACAGACTCCAAATATGACCAAGGACTTGTTTCTCCAGTCCCGAAAATAAGAAGATTGGATATAACAGTTCCGTTTCAATTCTACCATTACGTAACGTGGCTTCCAGTACGTGTCGGTAAACAATTGGTAAATTCATTTCATTTTCACACCTTTACATATAACAAGAAAAGGAGAAGAATTATTCTGTGTATATCAGAGTATCAGTAACAAATGAACTTTTACCACATTTTATCAGATATGCACTAAATTTGGTCAAAAAAATTGCCCAAAATGTTGTTCAAGTTTGCAAGTCGTTAGGGACTTTAAAGCAGGGAAGTCGTCACCTGCACATGCATCAGATAGGTCATAGCATGTTATTGTTTACAAACACGTGTCTACCCATGAGCCTTTGCGTTTTTGCGTATGTTTTTATCAACGCTTGGGACTTAATTCCCGCATGTCACAGGCGACACCCCTCCCGCTTTAATATGATGAGGATAACAGATCTCAGATATAAATGAACACTATAATTTCTTTGACACAACCAGGCACTAAGATCTTGTTCTGGGCAAGAGAGCCATGAAACAAGTTATTGACATGCTATAATTCCAAATACCATGGCTACATAAGAATCAGGGAAACTCTCACTTTCTCACACTCTCAATAAAAGCTCAGTAGCCAATTGCATCTAAATACTATTTTCGATACACACAAGTTTGATAAATGGTGGCACTGAGAGCTTACCATTTCGGTGGAGTAAATACTGACTGTGTACTCGGCATGCTAGCAAGGTTTGCGGCTGATGTTGGTTGACTAATAGTAGTATTACTGTGTGTTGACAATTGCGTATTGTGAACATCTGCTGTTGTTATTATTGTTGTTGCTGGCACAGGAGCCACTGCTGGTGGACCTGTTGCTGTAGATGATGGTTCTGTTGCTGCTGGTACTGCAGGGGCTGGTTGGGGTATTACAAACATGTCGGACAGCTCTTCAGAATTATCCCATTTCCTAGATTTGTTACTTTCTATGAATCAAAAATAATACAGGTGATATTGTTACATTGATCCATACTTTAAAACTTCCAGCACCATAATTATTCCAGGCATAATTTTGATTTTTCATGTACTGTGGAATACTTTATTTTTGCTGGAATTAATTTTCGCTGAAAAGGCTTTTTGGGCGTTTTGTATGGAATTTATTTTCACTGATTTCTGATGAGTTTAATGTGAAATATAGGAAAAAAAGTATATTCGCTGGATTTTATTTTCACGGAATCATCCCTTCAGCGAAAATAGCGAAAATAAATTCCAAGCGAAAATAAAGTATTCTACAGTACTCTATGTCAGACGAAATTGACAAAAATTATTCCGGTTTTATTCAGTCAAACATAAAATTTGAATTTTCCATTCAAAGTGTTGATGAGACATGTTCTTATAAACATTACCAGAGCAAAAAAGACTAATAGTTAATATATTGTTAACCTTATTAACCTTCCTTACCTGAAAATGAAGTACTAGTAGTTTGAGACTTGTTGACTGTTGGTGCATCTTTCAGAGCTGTCTTTTGATGGAATGTCTTCTTAGTTTTTTGTTGTCCTGACGACATATCAGTAATGTGTTCCAACATCAATGAATCTAAATCTGAGGACAACAATTGGTGAAATGTACATCTTAATGGTAATATGAACTCCACAATTAAACAAATACATACTCCACAATAATGGATCCCCCCCCCCAAAAAAAAAAACTAATTTGGGGTTGTCAACAAGAAAAGAACAAACAGTTTTTACCCAAAATGACAAAAACAAAATAGATGAATAATGGTTATCATCACAGAATGTATATATAATGTCAAAACAATCAGGCTAGTAGTTTCAAAGAAGAAATCCAAATACAGTATAAAAGTAATATTGGTGCAGTCTATCTGAAATTTGAAAATATCTCTACATGACTGTACACAGCAGGGGTGAGGTCACAAGTCAACAAGTGCAGATGTCTTATATAGGAAGTTAACCTCTTAAATATGATAGTATGATGATAGAAAATGC